AGTTTAATCACAATCCCGCACTATCCTTTAGAGCTTCACCATAATCCCATATTATCCTTTAATATTGCGTAACCACAATATTTACTTACGGTTCCGTACGACCCCTTAGAGCTTCAACATAATTCCGAACTATCCCATAAGAGCCCCGCATAATCCATTATTATAATCCCATTTGAGCCCGGACAACATCCCATCTCAGCATCACCATAGCTCTGTACTGTCCCCTTAGAACACGATCATCATCTCGAACTATCCCATAATAGCCCCGCCGTAATAAAAACAACTTTATTAGAAACCGAACAATATAGCGTACTATTCCCATTTTAGTCTGAACACAAGAACAATCTATCCCATTTCAGCATCACCATAGCTCTGCACTATCCCCTTAGAACATTACCATAATCCCGAACTATCCCATAAAGCCCCGCCGTAAAAAAAAAAAACCTAATTAGAAAACGAATAATAAAACACAGATTATTCTATCCCCTCTCAGCCTCGCCACAATCCTGAACTATCCCATGTCAGCCTCGCCACAATCCTGAACTATCCCATTTCAGCCTCGCCACAATCCTGAACTATCCCATCTCAGCCTCGCCACAAGCCTGAACTAGAACTATCCCATCTCAGCCTCGCCACAATCCTGAACTATCCCATCTCAGCCTCGCCACAATCCTGAACTATCCCATGACTGCGTCACAAAAATCCCGCAATCTCCTACAAAAGGCTCACATTAGCACAGTATTACCTAGGAGCAGTCGAATCCGTTCATTCTCACTTTCATTTAAAGCGGAACCTCATTAATACGGACACTTTGGTTTAATTGTATAACGGAATCTTCTTAATGCCCGATTACCACGAGTTCTGTGAATAACGGAACCTCATCACTCCGGACACTTTAGTTTATGTTATATGGCGGAATCTTCCTATAGCCCGGTTACTTTGCGTTTTGTGAAAAACGGAACTTCATTAGTCCGGACACTTAAGTTTATGTATACGGCGGAATCTTCCTATAGACCGGTTACTTTGCGTTTTGTGAAAAGCAGAACCTCATTGGTCCGGACACTTTGATTTAGTTAAACGAACTTCATCCAATATTTGCACATTAAACAAATTTCAAAACATACTATAAAGAGGATAGGAAAACAAGGTAATAGCTTATACCACATCTGTATTTCCTTCCTAATTAGTAATGATATTTCGCTTACGTCTTCATCAGTTTGGTTTAGTTTGGTTTAGCATTATTTAACGTCCTATCAACAGCTATGGTAATTTAAGGACGGCCTCCCCTGTGTGCAAGATGCATGCGTGTAGCGTATGCGTGTATGTTTTGGGAGGCTGTGATATGTTCGTGTTTGTCTTCTGGTGATAGCGCGGAACTGATGCCCACTTTATAGTGCTACCTCACTGAAACATACTGCCCAAGACAACCAGCAGGACACCCCAACCGGTCACAGTATACTGACAACGGGCGAACCAGTCTTCCCACTCCTAAATTCCTTGAGAAGAAACTACCATTTTTACAGACTCTGGTATGTCTCGGCCAGGGGACAGAACCTAAAGCCTTCCTCACAGGCANCTGCAGGGACTTAGTCGGAGACTTGCTTCACAAAGTCGTTATACCATTGTTGTTGGTAACCCGGATGTTCAGGATAACAAGGTTCCTCCATCGAAATTGAAATGTAGCGGCCAGTATTTTATTGCCTCTGTCAGGAATCGAACCCGGGACCTTTGCCTTTCTAGTTTGATGCTCTACCGATTGACATGCAGAGATATTCCATTCTCTCTAGTCGAGTCGGTAGGAGTCGGCTACTACTTTACCAGACTTTGATCCCTAGAGGCGACCTTGCTATAATCACGTACGCCCGCTCTTATCATTTATAATCCTCACAAGAGTCATACAATCCGATCACTGTCTCTTCTTACGACTAAAATAAACACCAGGAAATTGTCGAACAGACGATTTCTGTCCTCCCGTGCTAGGAAAAACGTTCAGACTATAAAATATAGTATTCTAGTCAAAAACAGTATGACTGGTGTTTATATGGGTATTAGGTCTAAGAGCTTTGACATCGGCATATCCTATGAAGTTCATGCACAGGGACCTAGAAATCAATTACGGGGCTGATTTCGGATCCATTCTGATGTGTGGGAATTATTATTAGACTTTTAAGGTGTTTATATCTGCTCCCTGTATAAAATTTCTCCACCCCCACGCCGAGGTTATACACCTTTATTGGGAGATACATCATAGAACGCAAAAAGATTCCCTTGACATCAGCATCGTTCAAATCAACATCTTGTAACTGCTTCTCAAGTCCCTGTGGTGAAGTTAGCCTCACCATGGATGTCTATGCTAAGTACCATCAACCATGTCTTCTCGTATATCTTAAAACTTCTTTGAGACGAACAACCCATTGCACACTTCACGTTTGTTCAGTATCTACCTGTTTGAAAAGGGATGTCTAAGAGTTTGATTTCTTTAAAATATGATTCAATTTCTACTTGTAAGAAGATGCCTCAGATTTCACTTTTTTTTTAAAGGATTCGTTGATGTTTCTTAACAATTAAGATATGAGATAAGAACCATAAACAACTGAAATAAAAACACATATCAAAGCTCTCCCGAGACATAGTTTTCGTGTGTTTTCTTGTCTGTAATGCGCTTTCTTTAGTAAACGCGAGAAAATGAGAGTAACTACACCAATGTAACGATCTTTCTCCCCCTGTTAAACGGGGAAAATTATTGACTATTAGTGTTTTGTTTAGGTGGTTCTTATCTTGCAACATCACTTATAAATCTTGTTGTACGTATACCATACGAGTGCGAATGCATTTCGTAATGTAATTTTCACTTCTGTTCAAAACACGAGGAAACAATACATCATATTTTATGCATGACATCAGACCCTCAAAAATCACGAACTACTTTGAAAAAAATCCCACATCAAAACAAATAGAGTAGACATGGCATTATTTAATATTGGAAACTACAAGAGGTAGTTAACTCGATAAGAAACTGTATTTCTATTTTTAAAGCTTCCGAAAACATCATCACACATATTGTAAAAAAAGAAAGAAAAAAAAAGCCTTACGACATTACTATTTACTAATGCTGTTGTCTACATACATTGCTATTAAGATATGTTGACTGGTATTTGACACACAGCGACATTCACGATAAATAGATAATGAGGAAGCGGGCATGTTGGACAAGGGGGAAACAATTATAACTGTCTCATCACAGTTGAAACAGCCTTTTCGCGACAAAGCGGTCCGCTCATCAATTAGTGTAGGTTGATATTGAAGACCGATCTGCAATACTGTTGTGAGCATATGTCTTATTTCCGGTTCGCGATGTTTCCTGTCGTCTTTGATTGTCATTTGTTCCGGTTATTGCACGTACTTCCGGTTTGTCCACAAATAAACTTTAAGTGGACTGTTTGGGCAATGTACGTGGTGCTTCTATTTAAGTCTGTATCCCGAAATATCAAGATAGAGAGAGTGAATGAACTGAATTTCTAGATGAGGGAGTGAAGAGGGAAGGAAGTAAGATGGAAGGTTTATTTGGTTTGGTTTGGTTTGTTTGTGTTTTACGCCCTGTTAACAGCTATGGTCATTTAAGGACGTGCCAGTTTTTGGCGATGGAGGAAAGTCGGAGTTTCCGGAGAAAAAACACCGATCTACGGCCAGTACATGGTGACTGCCCAACGTAGGTCTCGAACCAGCGACCCAGTGGTGGAGCCTAGAAGAGACCTAGTGGTAGCAGAATTTCAGACGCCTAAACCACTTCAACCACTTGGCCACCCGGGGGTGGGGTTGGTAATTCTGCAGTATAGGATGGTGTAACGTTGTTGGTGATGAATCTCAATTGTCAAGATTCGCAAATTTATTATCAAAATTTGTTTTCTTGGCTCTTTCTATGAACGACTGAATGATATTTTGCTTAAGTAATCGTTACCTATTTTTCAATCTGATAAATTCTTTTAATCGTATAAAGAATTGTTCGGACAAAAACGTGCCTAATTTATGTATGTGCGTTATGACACTTATAAATTGTCCAGTGGAATCCTGTTTTATTACATACTTACTGATAAATACGTTTTTTTTGTATATGCGATACGACACAATTGCTCTAACCCATATCAGCCCTCGCCGTATCACACCCCGAAACCCGTATCAGCCCCCGCCGTATCACACCCCAAAACCCATATCACACCACTTTTGGGATTTTTTTTCGTTTTTCAATATTTCAAAAAGAAAATTAAATCATAAGATAGTAGTTTTTATTAGTAAATATGTAATAAACAGAATAAAACACGCCTTTTTCCATATCACACCCAGTATCAACCCTCGACCAATATCAGCCCTCGTGCCTTCGGCCCTTGGGCTGATATTGCAGTCTCGTGTTGATACTGGGTATGATATGGAAAAAGGCATGTATTATTCTCTATTTAACGGTTATATTATAAAGATATTATAAAGAAAATAGATCAAATATCAATCATATATTTGTTTTGATCCTATGTTAATTGTTTGGCGCGTCATAACAAAATCCATATAACTCTCCCCATGAAATCAATGTTTGCTTTTCATTATCAAAGAGAAATGTGAGAAAAATATCGGTTTAGTTCAACGCCTTCCCTAGGGATTCGCCGTCAGTTTGTATAAGATAATATTGCTTTGTAGACTGGTGGCAATTAACGCTATATTTTCTCATAAATCGGTAATGACATCACGCAGCAATCTTATATGACTGTACGCATATCACATATCGTTACTATATATATATATATTTATACACTGCTCACGCGCGCATGAACATAGGTAGACCATACCTTTAACGCTTTTAGCTCAGCCGAGGAGCATGTCCCGTCGATTTATCTCCATGTGTGCGAGCGCTACATCCGAGTGGTGAGGGCCCCCTATATACACGACATCCAGTGTCTATATATATATATATATATATATATATAACGCTTCAGCTCACCGAGTCTCGTTAATCTGGGCAAGCGACTGAAGGATAACTAACATACGCAATACGTATCATTTATAGACATGACCGTTTGAATGAAGACAATTTTAAGCCATGAAGTCTTTTTTTTCTCGTGTGGTAACCCGTCAACGGGGTCCCTTTGTTTGTCGAGAATGTTGGTAAAAGAATGGGATACCCAGTCTTAAACATCAACCGATGAAATTCGTATTTTTACCTGGACGATATCGCCATTGAAGTATTGTGTGAACCTTTTTTGTGTGTGTTGGATATCATACCTGTACTATCCCTTGCTATGGATAATTCCTACCTGTGAAACATCGATCAACATACCTGTAAGGTAAAGGTAGGCTATATAAATATTCTTAAATATGGATTAATTTGCTTACTTTATTAATTAAATTGGAATATCGCATGTGATCGTCTGAACGAGTAAACAATTATAAAAGCAACATATTCATCTTCTATTGATCATGCAATTCAACTTGTATAAGTGTTCGTGCCTTGTAAAAGAAATCGTGTTAGTTTTGATAGAAGATTGATAATAAATGATAGTTTATAAATATTAAATCTCATTCGCACTCTTGTAGTTTTAATCAGCGTTTTATTTGTCTATTAAAACCAAATATTTGTTTTTATCTTATCTAAAATGATGATTACTGGATCATAGACAAAGAAATCTCTTGACACAAACAAATATTTTTGCATGCATGATAACTTTAATTCTTTTTTCTTATTCACGGAAAAAATAATATATCTTTACACAGCCGAATTTTGTGATCTGGGATATTCTGACCCAAACGATGTATATACGTATCTTATATATACACAACATCCTATATATTGAATGAAGTTTATATCTTTGTTGAATCTCTCGTCCCCTTTTTCCTCTTACATGTAGGCCGACATACAACATATTGAATAAATAGCATATCTGTCTCCAATCTTTCCTCAACAGTTACTATCTTGTGTGGTTTTGCTTCTTTTTATGTGCTTTTTTATTTATTTTTAAAGAAGATATTTAAAATAAACATGAAGTGAGTGTTTGTTGTGATGGCTTTCCTTGTGTCGTGTTACTCATGTAGACTTAGTTACAGGCAAACGTTCACGAGGTAATAGTAACTGCCTTTTACTGTGGTTAAATACATCCTCGTTCCCATTCTATTTAAATGGTTCGTCATGCCTGACGCTTGGATAAAAAAACCCACCTATATATACTACCAATATAAACTGAATCTTCTTGTTATCAACGGAACGTGGGAAATAACACAGTTCGTCTATCGAAAAATCCTTTAAATTCACGATATTGGATATATGATACCATATAAACAAAAATGCGTGTCGTTTCTTTTTCTCCAAATCTGAATTTTGGGTTATTGGAAAATAATACACAACCGATGTTGTTCATTGCTATGAAATATATTTGATAATTGAAACGAAATTGATTCTAACCACGCCCCTTTTGTATCGAACACTTGTATTTTTGTTTGTTTACAAATGTGCGTATTATGCCAGGAAATCAGCCGTCAATTGCAATAAACACGAAAATTGAAATGAAAATATTACGCGAAATTGATACTGAGATCGACAGTGTGTTATGTAAAATGTACGTGATTGAAGATTAACTTAAAGTTTACTACGTTTTAAAGACGTTGGCTGGTTATAAATTTTAAATATGCTAGAAGATTCTATTTTAGTAAGACATTACGATGTGTTATGGCGATGTTAAGATATCTTCAAAACGAGCTCCCGATGTACTTATAAATCTTTAGAGGGATGTTGAATCTGACACGTTTCATAAATATTCCAATAAACAACTCTCAAAAAAGGATGTTGAAACCAGCAACATATGATCACCCTAGAAACATGATTTAAAAAAATAAAAAAGACGTTGCACGATCTACTAGGGATCTTCAGAAGAAATTTGCATATTTTCTTACAGATGTTTGTGCTAATATCTCACCTGGGAGGTCAAGACGTCCTTTTAAAGTCAATTCATATGGAAATTGATGTCAGCTACTTTCTTTATATTGCTTTAGCCGACTTCTCTCTCCAAAAAAGTAAGAATAGTTAAGAAGTCCTGGTCGGTCGTGAGATCTAGAGCGTTTCACAGCGTTTCACAGCGGTTGTTGCGTGTTCGAATCTCGAAACAAATGTCTATTTTTTTTTTAACAAATTGTTTATTTCAGGTCGATCCTTGAAGCCAGAATCGATTATAATTTAGTGCTATAAAGAGCAATTGGAGAGACACCTATGGGAAGTCGATAGCTAAAAACTTGATTTAGTATACAACTACAAATACATATGTACGACCTCCCGCGAGGATTAATCGTTATTTTTCTCATGACAAGTTATAGTGGTAAATTTATACCCAACACTAAAAATCCCTTCAGAGGTATTCGGAAATTTCATGATGTAAGCTATGTTATAACGCCTCCAGATACCTTTTATTGAAGTTAAGCTTCTATGTGAGTGTTAAACACGGGACAATATTGTTGTAAGTACATACATGTACGTGTATGTAACCTTGTCAATATCATGTCGTTTTCGTGTTTATTACCGAGGGGAATACGAGGGGCGTGGCTCTACACTCAATTAAAACCCGAGTCGTTCTAGAGGTCTCGTGTGTTGATTTGACAAGAGATTATTTTGGGATGTGAAAATTTGCAAGTATAATAAAACGGAACGAACACATCTAGTTGAAATTCTGTTTATGTCTTTCTCTAAATTTTAATTCAGTTTCTGAGTGACCTTTTCGCTGACTCTAAGTCATTTCAAGGAAATCTTCACTGACAAACGTATATATACATTCCATACACTTCAGACAAGATTAAGATGTTGTTCGGAAACACATTGACATTTGCTTGTCTGCAATTCACGTGTCAATATTAGAACATTGTTTACATTCATATTTGACATGTTCATTTCACACAAGTATTTTAGATTTTTTAGATTTTGACACGTGGATTTATTTTCTGGTATTCCAATGATTTTACGTTCATGACGACGTCAAATGAACGTGAATGAGTACAGTTGGCAACAAACTTACATAAAGTTAGCTAAGTTTCCATTTTGTTCTTTGTTGCCGAAAAAACCCAACAGATTGATAGCTAGCTCGTTAATGAGCACGTGATTTCTGTATTCTAATTATTTAACAGGCAATCATAAAATAGTAATGCCTTTCTTGACACACAACTTACACTATTCCGTTATGTGTCCGTTCGGTTAGCTTGTTTTGTCATTCGTTGAACCCGTATTGTGTCCGTCCGTTGGAATGTCTTATATTCGTTTTATGTGTCCGTTTTTTTTCTTTTGTATTCATTTGATGAATTCGTCTTGTGTCTGTTCGTTGGACGCGTCTTATTCAAATTAAGGTGTCCGTCCTTTGTCCGTTAAATGAGTCTGTCTTGTATTCATTTGACGAATCCGTCTTGTGCCCGTTCGTTGGACGCGTCTCATTGCAATCAATGTGTGGCCAACTTGTGTCCGTCCTTTGTCCGTTTGATGAGGTTGTCTTGTATTCATTTGACGAATCCGTCTTGTGTCCTTTCGTTGGACGCGTCTCATTGCCATCCTTGTGAGGCCAATATGTGTCCTTTCTTTGTCCGTTCAATGAGTCTGTCTTGTATTCATTTGACGAATCCGTCTTGTGTCCTTTCGTTGGACGCGTCTCATTGCCATCCTTGTGAGGCCAATATGTGTCCGTCCTTTGTCCGTTCAATGAGTCTGTCCTGTATTCATTTGATGAATCCGTCTTGTGTTCGTTTCATGTGTGTCCGTCTTTTGTCCGTTGAATGAAAAGAATGCTGAGATTTTAGGGAAATTTACGTAAACAAAAGTAGTATGTACCTCATATAAATGTACATTTCAGCAGTTAATCGTATTTGAGTGATCATAACGAGAATCTAAAGCATGCATTTATGTTATTAAAACAACATAACTTACTCCGCAAGATCTATAAAAAGTAACAAAAGTTACCCATTTATCGCTCCATCCGTGGCTATGTTTTATAAAAACGGCATTTCTTGATAGGATTTTAACGCGCTCCCTTATTTCTATAGAAAACTCAATTACGGATCTCCGTAACACACACATTAATGCTATAAAACAAAAATCTCTTTGAAGTTACCTTTGGCATTATAAAACTGTACTTTTATTAAATAAGCGCCTCTATTTTTGTTCACCGTGCAAGAAAATGGCGCTTTCATGTCTTGGGGCTATTGTATTTTATGTAATATAAGATTTCTGATTTTAAATCTTTCATGACAGTGCACTTTGGTTGCTAATAAGACGATAAGAGACCGACATATTCGCATAAGTTTGTACTCCTATGTTGAAAGTTGCCACGATACACAAGGTCTTCATCAGCCATGTTTACCACCATGCCAAAGCGTTTAAGATGTCACTTTTATAGGTCCTCGACTTCAACCGCAGAGAACACGACTGAGTAGTTGTAAAACGCATGGTCTTAGGTTTAAATTTGATCAATAAATTCGCGATCTGTCAACGTTTGTTTGCTGTGGGTTTCGTTTCTTTTATAACGCCTCTGTTTAATCTGCTCCAAACTTGACTGTTAACATAATTGTCTTTTAAAGAGACTGATTTGTGAAGCACGCGTATGATGTATTTAAGGAAACTTGCAAGTTAATTAAGAGATAATAACCTAACGATTGAAAATAACTCCGTAAACATATTCCTCGCACTTAATCACTTCAATCGTTCTCGAATTTGAAATCTATATATCAAACACGATTTCAAAATAGAGACGGAGCCATTAGTTCGGGAAGCGATCTCTGCAAATTCACGACTTTCCCAGACAATGTATCATCCCTCGCAACATACATGAAAAAACAAAAGGTGATAAGTTGACATCTATCTCTAGGGAAGTAGCTTTTTTGTTACGCCCCTTTACGGTCACGTGGTGTCTCATTGACAACCTCCATCCAATGCATCACCTGATTCCCGACATGCCCCTTATATGGTCATGATCACGTTGCTTCCAGTTGACGTCTTCTTAGGGTACGTAACTTCCAAATATAAACTTTATTTATTTTACAACACTTATAAAACTTTTTTTTTTCCCAACTTGTATTAGTCATACTTGTTTGCCATGATGATAGCGCGCAGGGGTCTGAAGTGTCGCTTTGTGCCGGACGTAGACACAGCCTCCCTTTCAGATCATATGGTGTGTAGTAATGCCACTGGAACGCCCCCTTTGAGACCTCGTGGTGTCGAACTGATGACTTTCTGTTTGGTCTTATTAATCTCCTAGTAACGTCCATAAAAAGCTGGCTATTAACTAGACCACCTACCCTTAAGGTAATTTCGTAACATGCAGGTGATGTC